GTTCGCGAGGATTTCGCGGCTGTCGCGACAGTTCGCGTTGCCACGGCAACGCGTCTGGCGTCGTTAGAAGTGACGTTCGCCTGCTCGCAATTTTCGGCGTTACAGTGAACAAAGCCATTATATCTTTATAAAAAGTATATACAAACCTTAAAGTCAACGCTAATCGCTCTGGTGCAGAAATTGGATCACGCACAACATATTGTTTGCTTATCGCTGGACCTACTAAGCCTAACAATTCTTCAAATTCAGTTGCAGACATACGAAAATAATTTATAAATCGTAAATCGTTTAAACACAAAATAGGAAATATAGCTTGATAAAATCTATATACTGCACGATTCTGATAAATGTCAGCAATCCAGTATTTCTATTTTTTATATTTCCTTTTTTTAATTTCTTCAATTTCGGCTATCATGGCAGTTGTTGCTGCTATACGTTTTTTTTGGATTTCACGATTGTGGAAATTGATATTTGCACATTCCACCATATACTCATGTTTCATCAATGGTGAACACATTTTTTCGTTTGTTACAACAAATCAGTTCTTTTTTGACTTGCTGGATTTCGACCTCTTTAACAAATCAGTTAGTACTTAAGATATAACCTATTCTCCAAGCAAATTTTAAAAATGACGCGCAAAACCTTTTTCATTTGAACGTCAAAACATCATTTATAATAATCTAACCTTACCTTATCTGATTTTGAGCGTCAACGCGTCAATTAACGCCCATGAAAAAGCACCTTTAAAGAGAGACTCGCCAACTCATCACGTGACTATGGGTGATTCTGATTGGCTGGGGTATGGATGACGTGTTTTCCCTTTTTGAACATGTGTATCATAACCTGCTAGAATACACATGTGAATTGAAGCAGCTTGTGTTGCGTGTGGTTCTGACTATTTTTGGTAAGTAAATTTATCACATTTATGCAAAATTGTGAGAAAAAGTAATGTATATATTGTCACAAATAAGCTTTGAATTAATAAACGCTTCGTAGTTAAAAATAAGTAGTACGTAAGTTAAAGATACCTGTTTCATTAATAATGTGATTCTCTTGTCTTAGATTGGATTTTTATATTGATTTTGAAGATGCCAAATATATGCTGTGCAGCGAGATGTTTTAATAAATCCAGTGATGGATATGCATTAATTAGATTTCCCAAGGAAAATCAATATAAGAAAGCATGGGTAGACGCTGTTTTTGGAGAGACATCAAGATCCTTGAATAATTTGAGATTGTGTGAAGTGAGTATTCATCGTAAGAATGTTATGCAGGATCCGAATAAAAATAGTTTAAAAAGTGCTTCTCCATTTAATGCTTTCCTCATTTCAGGTTCACTTTGAGCCATCAGATGTATTGGTGGTAGGTTGCCGGAAAGAAATAAAAAAAGGTGCGATTCCATCACGTTTTTGCCATTGTCCCTCTGAGAATTTTCGTAAGTCGCAAGCAAGAAAGCGGAAGAAAGACGAAGTTCATGTACGTAATGTCAAAGCGAGACTAGATAGTTCAGAGAATTTAAATAATAATCAATATATGGAGTGTTCTTATAACAAGAAGCTTTCAGAAAATCGTCTTTCTTTAAAACAAATTGCGCCAAATATCTTAAAACATTCTTATAGTCAGACATTGAAATTTAAAAAGCAAAATCATATTTATAATGACGAAAATTCTGGTGAGCATCATAATAGTAGAAGTATGCAGATTTATATGCAAACTGTTTTGACTCCAGTTAAACAAAATTATCCTCAAGTTAATACATTTAAGCAGTTTAGCAACCTCTCAAGAAATACTTCTGAAATAATTAATGAAAATAGTACGACTGAAATTATTGCAAAATTTAACAAGAGCCAACAAGTGTACGTTATAAAACATGAAACCAATTGTCCATTTTTTACAGCTTCATTATCAATTAATGAAGTTAAGGAAATTATGTCTACTGTAACATTAGCTGCATCATCAACAAATGAAATATATGTAGAAGGTTCTACAGATAACTGTCTGCAGCATGACATTAACATGAATATAATGGAAACGTTAACAAGGAAAAGTGATCTTTCAGTATCTAAAAACAAATCTCAAAATGAAAAAAAAGACAAGCAAAGAAAGTGTTAAAAAAATGATATACACGAAGTGCAAAAGAAAGGCAAAGAATCAGAATCAAATTATTGGATGCAAGAACTGAAAAAAGTTTTTGAAGAAAACACTGATTTAAAAAAACAAATTAAAATTTTGAACAATCGCATGCGAGAAACACCAACCTTTTTAGCTAATGATCAATTACAAGTTTTAAGAACAGGCACTTCTAGAGGCATTAAGTGGTCAGAAGAAACTATTCTTAAAGGTTTGAGCTTGCGATTTACTTGTGGAATCAAAGGATATAATTATCTTCGACAAATGATGGCACCGCTTCCTTCTGCGCGAACGTTACAAAGAAGTATAGAACATGTGAAATTTGATCCAGGACTTTTGGATAACGTCTTTTTACGTTTGCAAGAAATTGTAAGTGATATGAATGAAAACGACAAAAATTGTGTTCTTGTCTTCGACGAAATGAGTATTGAGCAAAGAATAGATCTAGATCCTAGCACTGGCGCTTATATCGGTTATGTATCACTTCCTGGAGAACCGAATTGGCATCAAAAGCTTTAGTTTTTCTTGTTGCAGGCATCCGAAAACGATACAAACAAGTTGTTGCCTATCATTTCACAGCAAGTAAAGCGGCTCATAAAGCCATTATGGAAGTAATTATGAAAATATTAGAAAGATGCGAGCAAATTGGATTAAAAATTCTCGCTTTGGTTTGTGATATGGGAAATAGAGGATTATTGGCACACCTTGGATTTTCTCACAAGAAGGATTTGATGATTTATTCACGAGCACATCCTTTTAATGCAAATAGGTTGCTATATGCTATTCCTGATTTCATTCATGTTTTCAAAAGTTTAAAAGAAATGTTTATAAGAATAAGATAATGCTTCTCCCTGATGATATAGTGCATATCGAAAAACTTGCATCTAATACTGTAAATTTTGAATATATAGAGTGGCTTGAAGATCATCAACATAATATGGATCTGAAATTCGCCCCTCATTTAAAAAAATCAAATCTGAAGCCATCTCATTTTTCGAAAATGAAGGTTTCTTCTGCTACAAATATCATCCATCTTCATACCGCAGGAGCTTTATTATACTTAAGTCAATTGAGAAATGATCCCTCGATGCAATCTACGGCGTGGTTTGTACAGCTTCTTAGACAGTGATTTAAAATTATGACATCACGAAACTTTACTTATGCTCTTAGTTTTTACAATATGGAATCCTATAATAAGGCTGTGTCTGTTATTCATCTTGTTAGTTCAATTATGAAACATGCTAATTTTGGAAAAGACTGGAAAGTTGTTCAAACTAATGCAATTATGTGTTGTGTAATTACTTTAGAATTACAAAATTATTTATTAGTAACTGAAGGCTTCCAGTTTGTATGTATGGGTAGATTTTTACAAGATAGTATCGAAAATGAATTTTCGAATATTCGAATTCAGAGGCCAAAACCATCCACACGAGATTTTAAATTTAGATTAAAGCAGCTGTGCTTAGTAGGATGTCATCAGAAAATAGATAGTGCTAGTTATAATTTCGATGATTCTTCGAATCTTATACGTTCATTTATAGAAAAGCAAAAAAACAACACAAAAAATCTTTAATCGAGAGAGAATCATGTATAATATTTCCACATTTAAATGATTGTAGAGAGATAAATAGAGAACAAGAAGACATTTTGTATAAAATGTGCGGACATGTAATCTACAAATTGAAACCACGTATAAAATGTATCAATTGTTATTCAAAACTTCTTCATTCAGGGGATGTTCCGCATGCAAGGGCCGGTTTGGCATCAGAATTCACAAATGGGACCCTTGTTCAAGTTTCAGATGAAGTACATCAATTGCTTAGAAACGTTGAAATCATATTACAAGCTATAAAGCATCAATTGAAAAACATAAAATCCATCAAATTGCAAATTCTAAATCATGTACACACAGTTTTATCGCATCTCAGTTTTTCTACTTGTCATGATATTCGGCTACTGTTGTTAGAAAAATTTATAGGAATGAGATTGAATCAACTTTCTACAAATTTAAGTCTTATTAGCTCAGATCAAAGTAAATCATTTGCTTTTGGAAGTAAAAGCATGGGATCTAGGTTCTTGGCAGATAATTTCAATCCAAGTAGTAACAAGATTAAAAGTAGTAAATGATTAAGATATTTAATAGTTTTTTTTATTGCTTAGTATTACATTATATTTTTTATTTTTGTTAATATATTTTTTCTTCCATATACATAAATTTATACATACCTTAAATATAAAGAGTATTAAAGTGTATATAAATTCGTATTAAGAATATACCAAAGATTTTATATTGCTTGTTGATAACTCTCAAGTTTAATTATTTTGTTTAATTTAATAGAATTTAATTTTTGTATGACGATTAGTAATATACAAAATATTTTACTTATTACGAATATAAGATGAAGAATATCAATTGTTCAGAAATGTTTATAAACCATCAATTGGAAAACAAGGTCACCCGTTAAATATAAGTTATAGTAAGATATTGTTACGTCCGGTGGACTCCACGATTTCTTCGTTTCGCGACCGTTCAATCAACGAAGTAAGATATGAACAAATCCAAATGATAACACAAATCCGAGAGAAGTTTCCAGCCACAAAATCTTGTTTGCCTAGAATCGAGAGACTCGCAATAAAAATTCTCTCATAGTGCCGATAATCAAACGTTAAATCTCCTTTCGAGCATCGTGGAAAACGAAAATCAACATCAAACAGCGTTGGTACCAAGGCTAAGCCAAGCCACGAAATAATCCCCGCGATAATAAGAGTGATAGCGCGGACCGACGCTCGAAAGAAGATGAAATGTTTAACCATTTCACACCGATATCACGCGGGCCCAATGATAATGGTCCCACGCTTAGGCTTAAGATAGGGTTATAAATCTAGTAATGACATTTTCCGACACTGAGAAAAATCAACACGAACCGCGACTCTCGATTAACTAATCCAGAGATATCTATCCATCGTTCAACGTGAGAACGAATAAAAAATGACATAGCGGGCGGAGCTAACCGGGAGGCAATTTTCCAACGACGAATCAAAATTGTATCACCTTAGAATCCAGTAAACCTGATTCCCTAATTTCCCAATTAGACAC